ATGGAACTGGTTCTATGTCTGGTGAATATGAAACCATTGTAGATGCTCACAATGCTACTTTTTCCTGCCTAGGATCATAGCAGATGAGATATTAATGGGAATAATAACTATATGATTTCCTTCCATTTAGAAGTGCAGGGAGTGGAAATATCACCGAAACTTTTAAGACGATTTTTTAAAAACTTTTAAATAGTTATTACCAAAATAATATAACAATTGTATTCATTAGCGATGGTCAGGAGTCTTTTGACTTTAATTAATTAACTTATTTAATAGAATAAATGAAATAAAAATACTTGATTTAATTTATAAGTGTAGCTGTTGGAAATTCATTTCCAAACACAATATCTAATGTTTTAAGAAAGGCAATCCATAATTAAAACTCAAGCTGCCCTGCCATTTTCGAAGTTTAAAGACGTAGCACTTCTCAATAATAATTATAATAAGAATTCACAACTATATTTCACTAAATCAAACAGCTTCTGAATGTATAATCAAAGCTCCTTCAAGTTAACTAGCCAGTTTATTAAACAATTGCTTCGAAAGAGACTACCACAATGGTTGCACCTGGCGAATCGTATCTTAATAAAACAGATGGAACCAACAAAAAAATGGTTTTAGATGGAGAAGAGATTTAGCCTACTTACAATCCTCATCATATTTCTTAACTTATATGTAATTCAATATCACAGGAAATAATAGAGAGTGCTGCAACAAAGAATCAAAATAGCTAATAAAATTTTAAAAGAATAAAAGTAATATCTGATCAACTTTTAACCAAAATGGAAGCCAGTAATGATAATAAAGATCAGGAAGCACTTCAACTAATGGATCCTCTTTTAGAACTAATTGATAAATTTGCAGATGGAACTTTAAAAGCCCAAAATTTATCTGAATCTACAATGACTATGCTTCAAAAACATCTGAAATAAAAGTAAGAAATTTCTAAATTTATTGAATGTTTTGCGAAAGAAAAAGTAGAGGAAAATCTAACTAAAGAGAAGGTTAAAGAAAAACTTCAGAATAAACTAAATAAGACAAAACTGGGTTGCTATGTTAGATCTACGATTACAAAAAAACCTCTAAATCTTGTCTAATCTATTTGGTAGGTTGTTACCCAAAGCTTAGATGACCTTAAATAAGTAATAGAAAAGGAATAAAATTAAGAAATTAAAGTCTTATTGATAGAGTTCAAAAATATTATTGATGAACAACTGGAAAAAATATTCAAGTAGCAGAAATTTGAAAATTTGGAAGAAAGGAATCAATTTATACTAACTAAGTTAAACGAGTTTCTCAGAAGAATAACAATATTAAGTTCTTAATCTACTTTTATAAAATCTGAATTCATCAACATAGTTGATTATTGTAGAAGTTTTGATGTAGAGAAATTTGATTTGGAAGCTGAAACTCAAAAGAATTAGGAAGTAAATCAATATTCTTATTTGCCAAAATGCATTCAACCAAAAATTTAGAACAATAATGTGAGAGCATCTTATGTTGCTACTTACGCTTTACTATTATTAGGAGGAAATAAGTCTCCATGTAAATTATTTATTCTATGATTTTAGCTCTGAATGATGTTGCTTATGTTTTGAAATAAGCTGATATTGAACCAAATCTACCTGAAATTGAAGCTCTTATTAAAAATCTCAAGGGTAAAGATTTAAATTAAGTAATCAAAGAAGGAAAATTAAAAATGCCATAACTAATGTGTTGAATTTTATTAATTACAGAGTATATATATTATATCAATTTTTAATATTTTAAGATTCATACTATCATAATTAAGTCAAATAATTTTACTTCTTTATTTTTCAAATCACGTGAAATTCGAAAAGAATAATTTTGTTTGATTTGATTTTTTCAATAGTTTAATTCATTAATTTAAATTTAATTATTATTTCNTATTTTGGTTTCACAATTTCTTATATTATATTTTAATGGACAATCATTTCCGTAGGTGATGATGTATATTGATAAACCTTTTAAATATTTTGAATTTACAATCATAAAATTATGGTAATAACCAATCTTGGCATTAAAATAAATGAATATTGATCTAATTTCAAAAATTAAATATTAATTATTTTTCAGTTCAAAACAGAAACATAAGTTTTATAATAATTTAAAAAATTTTCTTTTATTATATAATTTTATTCTTTTAATTGGTTTATTTTAACTCTTTTTTAAATTAATCAATCGAATCCAGAATTTAAGCACCAATTCGATTAATTTTCTTGAATATAATAGCAGAATACAACATTCATAATTCTAAATTCTTCTTAGACTCTAGATACTTGAAATTTGTAACACTTTTCCAAGTATTTGCTTATGTAGAGAATTTAATGATTCTGTTAATGAATAATGATAAAAATCCATTCAATCGCTTGCAAAAATTTTTATTTTTTCAAACTAATTTATTACTAAAAAGAATTAAAAACTACAAAAAAATTTTAATAGAAATCACAAATAATAGAAATAGACTACTATTAAAATCAAGATGAAAGCTTGAAATAAAATTATTAAAAAAGGTAAAATGAGCTGTAATTATGAAGCATATATGGCAAAGGATTGCAAATCTACATAATCTTATCTAATCACCCTTATTGATGGAACTGGTTCTATGTCTGGTGAATATGAAACCATTGTAGATGCTCACAATGCTACTTTTTCCTGCCTAGGATCATAGCAGATGAGATATTAATGGGAATAATAACTATATGATTTCCTTCCATTTAGAAGTGCAGGGAGTGGAAATATCACCGAAACTTTTAAGACGATTTTTTAAAAACTTTTAAATAGTTATTACCAAAATAATATAACAATTGTATTCATTAGCGATGGTCAGGAGTCTTTTGACTTTAATTAATTAACTTATTTAATAGAATAAATGAAATAAAAATACTTGATTTAATTTATAAGTGTAGCTGTTGGAAATTCATTTCCAAACACAATATCTAATGTTTTAAGAAAGGCAATCCATAATTAAAACTCAAGCTGCCCTGCCATTTTCGAAGTTTAAAGACGTAGCACTTCTCAATAATAATTATAATAAGAATTCACAACTATATTTCACTAAATCAAACAGCTTCTGAATGTATAATCAAAGCTCCTTCAAGTTAACTAGCCAGTTTATTAAACAATTGCTTCGAAAGAGACTACCACAATGGTTGCACCTGGCGAATCGTATCTTAATAAAACAGATGGAACCAACAAAAAAATGGTTTTAGATGGAGAAGAGATTTAGCCTACTTACAATCCTCATCATATTTCTTAACTTATATGTAATTCAATATCACAGGAAATAATAGAGAGTGCTGCAACAAAGAATCAAAATAGCTAATAAAATTTTAAAAGAATAAAAGTAATATCTGATCAACTTTTAACCAAAATGGAAGCCAGTAATGATAATAAAGATCAGGAAGCACTTCAACTAATGGATCCTCTTTTAGAACTAATTGATAAATTTGCAGATGGAACTTTAAAAGCCCAAAATTTATCTGAATCTACAATGACTATGCTTCAAAAACATCTGAAATAAAAGTAAGAAATTTCTAAATTTATTGAATGTTTTGCGAAAGAAAAAGTAGAGGAAAATCTAACTAAAGAGAAGGTTAAAGAAAAACTTCAGAATAAACTAAATAAGACAAAACTGGGTTGCTATGTTAGATCTACGATTACAAAAAAACCTCTAAATCTTGTCTAATCTATTTGGTAGGTTGTTACCCAAAGCTTAGATGACCTTAAATAAGTAATAGAAAAGGAATAAAATTAAGAAATTAAAGTCTTATTGATAGAGTTCAAAAATATTATTGATGAACAACTGGAAAAAATATTCAAGTAGCAGAAATTTGAAAATTTGGAAGAAAGGAATCAATTTATACTAACTAAGTTAAACGAGTTTCTCAGAAGAATAACAATATTAAGTTCTTAATCTACTTTTATAAAATCTGAATTCATCAACATAGTTGATTATTGTAGAAGTTTTGATGTAGAGAAATTTGATTTGGAAGCTGAAACTCAAAAGAATTAGGAAGTAAATCAATATTCTTATTTGCCAAAATGCATTCAACCAAAAATTTAGAACAATAATGTGAGAGCATCTTATGTTGCTACTTACGCTTTACTATTATTAGGAGGAAATAAGTCTCCATGTAAATTATTTATTCTATGATTTTAGCTCTGAATGATGTTGCTTATGTTTTGAAATAAGCTGATATTGAACCAAATCTACCTGAAATTGAAGCTCTTATTAAAAATCTCAAGGGTAAAGATTTAAATTAAGTAATCAAAGAAGGAAAATTAAAAATGCCATAACTAATGTGTTGAATTTTATTAATTACAGAGTATATATATTATATCAATTTTTAATATTTTAAGATTCATACTATCATAATTAAGTCAAATAATTTTACTTCTTTATTTTTCAAATCACGTGAAATTCGAAAAGAATAATTTTGTTTGATTTGATTTTTTCAATAGTTTAATTCATTAATTTAAATTTAATTATTATTTCAGGCTTTGTTACTACATCAAAATATTTTCATTAAAGCATGAGACTTAATAAATTATTAAAATAGATTATAGTTTTACCTCTTGTACAGATAGATCTACTTATACTAAAAGTAATAGTCTTCTGTTAGCGTGTTCCAATTGTTACTCAAAGGTGAACATCTAGGGAGTTTACTTGATGAGAAATATAATGAAATTGTCTAATTCATTTATTTTATTAATAATTTCATTCTTTTTTTCACATCATATATTAAAAGAAGAATTTATCAAATTATTATCATTAATCAAAGTCTTTTTTTGAATATTGAGCTAATTTTAGGTGCAATTTCTTGGTAGTTTCATCACAATTATTTAAAATAATCAAATTTGACAATGGAAGTTAATAGAAAGATAATTTGAAGAAAGACATTCAAATATTTTAGATGATTCCATTAAATTCTAGGAGATTTCTTTTTAAATAATGTTGTAAATTATAAATAAATGCATCAATGAATTTAAATTTTCATTTTTGGAATGACATAATTATCTTAATTTTTTATCTTGCTTTCAGAATTAATAGTGCCATAGCTTAAACATCTGCAATCTGGGTACTCTTCATTGTTGCTTTGCACAACTAATTCATCCATTTCTTGTTTGCTAATAAGTTTAATTTATCTAGAACTCAAGATATCAATTTTCTTTATCGAATCCTATAAACCCTCTATTTTTTATGTAAACTACATCGGATGAATTAATATTTGTCTAACATCCAAATACTTATTGATTAATTCAGTTTATTAATTATAAAATTCTCTTTTCTTTGAAGAAGTTATTAGTTAATGGAGCAATATGTCCTATTTTTTAGACTTTTATAATTAAATATCCTTATTGTTACCTTTGTTCTAATGATTGATTAAGAAATTTATCAAAAAAAGCTTATAGAGAATCGATTATATTGGATATAATATGATATCCAACAAAGCTCTTATGATTGTAAATAACCCTCCGAGCTTAGCAGCTACATCCATTAAAGTTTAATATGTAATGTAACAAACCTTCTTCTTAGCATCCAAANATTACAAAAAAACCTCTAAATCTTGTCTAATCTATTTGGTAGGTTGTTACCCAAAGCTTAGATGACCTTAAATAAGTAATAGAAAAGGAATAAAATTAAGAAATTAAAGTCTTATTGATAGAGTTCAAAAATATTATTGATGAACAACTGGAAAAAATATTCAAGTAGCAGAAATTTGAAAATTTGGAAGAAAGGAATCAATTTATACTAACTAAGTTAAACGAGTTTCTCAGAAGAATAACAATATTAAGTTCTTAATCTACTTTTATAAAATCTGAATTCATCAACATAGTTGATTATTGTAGAAGTTTTGATGTAGAGAAATTTGATTTGGAAGCTGAAACTCAAAAGAATTAGGAAGTAAATCAATATTCTTATTTGCCAAAATGCATTCAACCAAAAATTTAGAACAATAATGTGAGAGCATCTTATGTTGCTACTTACGCTTTACTATTATTAGGAGGAAATAAGTCTCCATGTAAATTATTTATTCTATGATTTTAGCTCTGAATGATGTTGCTTATGTTTTGAAATAAGCTGATATTGAACCAAATCTACCTGAAATTGAAGCTCTTATTAAAAATCTCAAGGGTAAAGATTTAAATTAAGTAATCAAAGAAGGAAAATTAAAAATGCCATAACTAATGTGTTGAATTTTATTAATTACAGAGTATATATATTATATCAATTTTTAATATTTTAAGATTCATACTATCATAATTAAGTCAAATAATTTTACTTCTTTATTTTTCAAATCACGTGAAATTCGAAAAGAATAATTTTGTTTGATTTGATTTTTTCAATAGTTTAATTCATTAATTTAAATTTAATTATTATTTCAGGCTTTGTTACTACATCAAAATATTTTCATTAAAGCATGAGACTTAATAAATTATTAAAATAGATTATAGTTTTACCTCTTGTACAGATAGATCTACTTATACTAAAAGTAATAGTCTTCTGTTAGCGTGTTCCAATTGTTACTCAAAGGTGAACATCTAGGGAGTTTACTTGATGAGAAATATAATGAAATTGTCTAATTCATTTATTTTATTAATAATTTCATTCTTTTTTTCACATCATATATTAAAAGAAGAATTTATCAAATTATTATCATTAATCAAAGTCTTTTTTTGAATATTGAGCTAATTTTAGGTGCAATTTCTTGGTAGTTTCATCACAATTATTTAAAATAATCAAATTTGACAATGGAAGTTAATAGAAAGATAATTTGAAGAAAGACATTCAAATATTTTAGATGATTCCATTAAATTCTAGGAGATTTCTTTTTAAATAATGTTGTAAATTATAAATAAATGCATCAATGAATTTAAATTTTCATTTTTGGAATGACATAATTATCTTAATTTTTTATCTTGCTTTCAGAATTAATAGTGCCATAGCTTAAACATCTGCAATCTGGGTACTCTTCATTGTTGCTTTGCACAACTAATTCATCCATTTCTTGTTTGCTAATAAGTTTAATTTATCTAGAACTCAAGATATCAATTTTCTTTATCGAATCCTATAAACCCTCTATTTTTTATGTAAACTACATCGGATGAATTAATATTTGTCTAACATCCAAATACTTATTGATTAATTCAGTTTATTAATTATAAAATTCTCTTTTCTTTGAAGAAGTTATTAGTTAATGGAGCAATATGTCCTATTTTTTAGACTTTTATAATTAAATATCCTTATTGTTACCTTTGTTCTAATGATTGATTAAGAAATTTATCAAAAAAAGCTTATAGAGAATCGATTATATTGGATATAATATGATATCCAACAAAGCTCTTATGATTGTAAATAACCCTCCGAGCTTAGCAGCTACATCCATTAAAGTTTAATATGTAATGTAACAAACCTTCTTCTTAGCATCCAAATGCACTTCAATTCTAGCTAAGGTATTGGCATCCTAGAAATAAAGCACACTATCAGTCACTGTCTTTTAGTATTCAACCCCATCATGTTATACTTATCTAGGAAAAAAATAGAAAGGATTATATTCAAGATAACTTTAAGAGTATTGTAAATAAATTTTAATATACTTACCTACTTTATAATAGAGTGAAGTAAGGTCAATGTTTTCAGTTTACTGATATGGAGAAACATCTTATTCTTTGTTAAATTAATGAAAGGAGTATGAGTAATAAAGATTGGCATTTGTAATATAATTATCGATCTCTTCATTAGATGCACAATCTAGATTAAATAATATTATACTTTCTATTTCAGTGCTATTTGAACATCTTTCAATTAATGCTCCTAATAAAGTAAAATTATCATAACGATTTGATCCTTAAATTCTTATTTCAGGATTCTCTCTGATATACTATTCACTCATACAATAAGTTATATTTTCATATGCCTCAGCAATATTTAATTTCTAAATTAATTATTAGTTTTTACTTTTGATGCTTCTCTAATTCTATCCCCACAAATTTCTCCTGGTATTACAACACAATCTGTTTCATTCAGTGATTTATTGCAAACATAAAATCCAATCTTAAATATTCTGTTATTTTCATTTGGAATAGGTTGACCCAAAATACCAAGTAACCCTGCTGAAAATATTAGTTCAGTGGAGTTAAAACTGAATCCCTAAAAAAAGTTTGGAAAGATAAATACTTCATTATTTTGAATAACAGCTTCTTAAGAGTTAAAAATTGCATTCTTCCCTTTGTTCATTTCCAGAATAAATAAACTACCTGAATAAGTAAGTATGCTAAATAGTAATAAAGTCATAAAGGCTCCAATTTGAGATTAAAAAACAGATGAACCGGATGCTTTTAGCCTAATTTATTAGCCAAAAATGTCGAAAGTTCGAAGTTTTCTGAATAGCTCCATCATCATTAGGAAGAAATATATTTATTTAAATTTAATTGCATCTATACATTAAGAATTTATTTTCTATGAACTTGAATTTATTTTTAATCTGCAGATATTGGTATGGATAATGATATAACACACTATAATTTTTAGAAAATTTGTCTTATAAAAATATATTTTAGATTTGATATTTTTCAAATTTTTTGTTTTTATTGCCATAGGGAGTTCAAAACCAATTTAATCTAATTTTTTATCAAAATTTATTATTAATTAGGATTACGTCAAAAAATGTTTTAACCCAAAACTTAATAAAAAAATAATCATATTCATATAATATTGGGTTCTCTAAAGGTTGCCAAAATATATTCCCATTCTAAATGAAATAACAAAGAAAAATTACTAACTCTTATGAAAAAACTAAATTAATATAAAAATATTAAAGATTGATATATAATTACGTTTTCCATTTTCAGATATATTTCATACATAATTAGACTCCTATAAATTGATTTTAATTCAATTTATTTTAAAAAAAAAGATAAAAATTATATGTTCTCTTTCTTCACTGCAGATCAAATTAATCTTCTAATTAATTTATCTAGGTTGGTTATCATGATCATGAAAATTATAATTACAAAAATTATGTATAAGCTATCTTTGTCCGAAATTTAGAAAATTAATTGCAAATTACTTATGAAAGTATTTCAGTCAGCTGATTAATTAAATATAATTATTCAAGAAGGAATACAATATACTATTCTTTAGGAAATGTAATGAAAGCACAAAATTTGGGTAATACTATACAAGTAATATACTTTTTTACTACTTACTAAATTAATCCTGTTTTGAAGTTTTTCTTTAGTTCTTTATATCTGCAAGATATAAATTATTAAGAATGAATTAGTAAGTTAATAGATTACATGTAATAGTTATTATAAAAAGTACTTTTTATTGAAGAATATATATAATTATTTTTTATATTAAATTAAATGATTAATGATTCTCAGAGATTAAATTATATATATATATATTCGCATATAAATTTAACAGCCTCAAAAAAATATAGCAGTAAAACAATATTGACCACTCTAAAATTTCCAATACATTAAACTTCTAAAGAATAAAGGATTCTTAATTCTAGGCAATCAATTAGTAAAATAATAAACACAGCCCTAATAATGTCGCTTTCAAAAATATGTCACTTTCAAAGTAAATTATAATAATAATTGTATTCCCCCACAATTTGATCATTTCCCAAAAGTAGTTTATTGAATATATTCATTAAATCAATATCCTACATATCTTCTAAATTTATCTTGTCATTGTTTTCTCTATACATGAATAAGAATTTTGAAATAGACTGTTTATACAATATTAGAAGCAGAAATAAGGGTACGATCAATCCAATAAATACAGATTAGGAATTGCAAATCCTTATATTCATGAGATGTGACTATCTGACCCATATATCAAGAATACATCACATGATATATAGTCTAAATTTGATATTTTTCTAATAGCCAGAATTGCAAAAAATCTTACAAATATAAAATTGTAAGAAATGATTCCCGTCCTAAATTTAGTTTTTGTTGTAATGGATATAATTTTAGATCAAATATAATGTATTAATATCCAAGCAACAATTAAGACAAACATAACCAAGTTACTACTGTAAATTAACTAAATGCCTTGAATTTCAGCAAAAAAAAATACATTCAAAATAACTCGCCATAAAATATGATGTATCACTTGATTGTTTACACAGTTTGAAGAGAAAGTGATGCAAATAATAGTAAAAATATGAGAAAAAATCCATAAATAATTCAGAAATAATTTAAATAAAATCCTGATTTAAATATATTTTAAAGTTACCTTAATTTAATATGAATAAAATGTTGACAAATTTTTATCTGACCTTGAATTATGCAAATAATTATTAGTTTTTTCAATACTTCTGATGATTTATAAAGTAGAAGGATAGCCCTATAATATTTAAATTTAATGTACCAAATTGATATAAATAAAAGGTTAATAGCTACCTTGAAAATTCTTAACATTATTTACATTCTAACTGCTTCTAATCTTTAAAGAATGATCCAGTTCCTCTTATATCATTTCGATCTCATTCTTCGCACAAACCTCCATCTTGTCCATAATAACAAAGGTCATTTCCAAAAATTCATCTTCTTCTTTCGCATTAAGTTGGACCTTTAAAGCATAATTCTATATAATCTGAAATCAAATTATCGTTAGAGGGTATGGCTTTAATTTAAATGATCTTATATCAAATGTTTATATGTGGCCCTTTATGAATGCATTTTACATTAATATCCTCCTTTATCCAAAAACTCTTCATAATTATTAGGCATATAAGCCAATTTTCCTTTTAATCGTTTGCTCTCAGAATAATCGCGTTGATCTATTACATCAATTTCCAATTAAAACATCTATCTCTTAATAATTTTTTTTTTAATATAGTATATACACTATTTATTAAGATCATCAAGAGAATTAACAATTTAATTCACTATTTAATCTGATGTACAATAAGGGACCCTTATTAAAGTTTTTAAAGATCCTTTATCTAACTTATCTATTTTTTGTTAATATGACTATATATTTGTTAATTTTAGATTATTTTTTGAAGAGGATAGTTTATTAGACTTTTCTTATTCGTATGTTGATATTAATAAATTATGAACGTGATTGATAATACATTCTGATATAATCACTATGCCATCTTCTTATAAATTAATGTTAAAAACTTGGCTATCTTAAGTTTTAATAAATTAATTAAACCATTATTAAATTTAAATTTAGTCACAGTTGTTTATTATGCCCCTCCTACAGTTTCGATAGAATACGATTGAAAAATAATATATGTAATTTCGTTTTAATTAGAATTGTCTTAAAATTAAATTTCATCATATTTAACCCAAAATTCTTGGTTATGTTAATTATGATTTTAAACTTAAAAATTTTCTATGTATACTTCATGAGAAAAAAAAAAAAATATTTTTTATTATTAAAATACCTTATCCTGAATCAATATAAAAAAGATTAGCTGAAATTTAAGAAGGATTATATTAATTAAAATTACTCTGTAACTTAACAGCACGTTGTTAGTGCAACTGGAATTATTATTTAAAGATTTTCAATTTTATTATTTTATTTAAATTTTGCGGGTCTTTTTTTTCAACCATTTTTTCTTGATTTAAATTTACTCTTGTGCCTCCACAACAGTTCTTATTAGGGCATATTGTTAAATTTATTAGAAAAGGTATAGAGAATATAAGACAATTTAAGTAAATGTAGAAAAAGAGTTTGTTTAATCGATTTCAAGTCATAAACTTAAGAACTTAAGAATATAAGCTTATTAAATTAATGCAATTTTAAGTTTGCATAGGCTCAAGAAAAATTATTAAATGTATGTTAAATTGTAATTCAACCCGAGTGATTAATAAACTTATTTATGTATGGCTAAAGAAATGCTGATACTGTTATTTCAGAAAATATAAGTTGCTCTAAAGAACTTTATTATTATATAAATATATAACGATTGTTAATACTTGAATAAAATAGCATTAATAAGCAATTATTTGAAAGTAGGATAAAATAATCATCAGAGTTATGAATTTTAATTCTCGAAATACAATAAAACTATTTTCTGATTTAAAATTTAATATATTATTTTTCACAAAAACTCTCTATCATTATTAGAATAAACCTTTTGTCGTTTTTAGGCTCAAAGTATGTGAAACAAAATATTGATAGAATATGTTTAAAGAATATGTTTTCAAAATTCTTTGCCTTTTAAAAGCAATATCAAATAAAGGCAATCCTTCTTAAAATCAGAGGCTACAAATTAGTAAGATGGTTTAAATATAATATTGAATATTTATCATTCCAGTTTAAGAATTAATGCAAATGATTTTGTATTATCTCAGTGAAACTTATCTATATAAAGATATTCTTCATTAAGTTTTATTAGAATTAAAGAATAAAATTTTCAAAGATGCACAAAATAAAATATTTTAAACTATCATAATTTGATAGACTACATTTATTGGATTTCCAAATTTATCCTAGATATTCGAGCCTAAATAATGTGGAGGAATCAAATCATTAAAACGAAGTATTTACTACTAATTAGAGTTTAAAACTAGCAAGAAGAATAAGAATCTTTTTAATATAAGATTATATTTATGTTATTTAATGCTAATATTTTAGTTAATAATTCAAAATACTTATCAATAGTGTGCAATATTAATTCTAAGTGGCTTCAAGACAATATCAAAGACTCTGCAAAAATAATTCCTGGCTTATAATTGATAATGGATTTCTTTGGTTGATTTTAATTTACACCTTCATGAGGATAATTAAAATGGTAAAAATACTCAAATCATTTGAAAGGGTAAAGCTTATTTTTGATGTCGCTTTTTAAGCTGATACCTACCTATCATGTTATTATTTAAAATACATAATCATTTAATTCATATATAATATTAAATTAGTTTCACATATTTTTTTGGAGCTTATAATAAGCTTCTGCTTTTATTATATGTAGCCCAGTATTTTCAGTATTTCCATTAAGATTGTATACTTTAAAACTTTAAACAGCCTAAACAGGAAAATTTATAGTAGTTATGCTTTAAACAAAATTGCTTTCATAGATTATGGTTTCTACATCATTATATATTAAATATATCTTTAGTCTATAGAACCTGTAGGTTTGGTCCCAAAACCATATTTTTAAGGTATTTAATTCGTAATACTCTTACAAATTGAATATTATTGATTTTCCTAACACACTTGATGTATATCCATATCCTCCTGTAATCGTATAAATATTATCGCGTAAACAACTACCATAAATGCCAACTTAAAACCCATTCTATTATTTTGATGAGATTAATGCTCCCATGTTATAGTTAAGCACGTTTTTATATTTTCCCCTAATTATTGATTTTAATTTTGCCTCTCTTCTCTTACATGGTGTATTAACTACTAACTAAATGTTGTACAGTAATAAAATGGCACATAAAAAGTAACTGTTCCACTTCATCTATGTAGAATTAATAGATAAATATATTTTATTATTATAATTCTTATTGTAATATTCATCATGAATTTGTTTCAGAAAAACGTCTATAGCTTTACAAATCAAACAATAGTATAGAAGATTACATTCAAAAGTCTATTATCATAATTAAGCTCTGAAATAAAATTGTGGTTATGAATATAATTTGATAAAAAGAAGACTGTATTTACTACGTCATACATAGAGCTAAATTATATTATTAAATTAATATTAAAGCTATTAATATTAATCTTTTTTATGAAATCTAATATTTTAGTTTCTCTATTGTTAGTAAAATTATTCAAAGTTCTTTTTTTCTAAACCAGTTTGATACTTCATAATGATATTAGCTAATTAAGTTTTAGATTTCATTTCAAATATAAAAATTATGGTTTTTTTTTTGAAATAAAAAGATAATGGTTTAAATTAATGACTTAAATCTGTGCGATATCATAATTTTAACTTCATGGGGCAATATTAGTACATAGAATCATTGTTGTAAAATTTCATAATAAGTTTTTGTATTTAAAATAGATATTATGCCTGTTAGTTAACCAATAATTAAAACAAGAGCATGTAGAATCAAGCAACTTATTAAAATTATATGGTCTTTTGTTAGCAATCCAAAAATACTTAAAGGATTATAAACTATTTTTTCTTTTGATTGTTCCATCAAATCCCTTGTTTTTGAGAATAAATATTTATTAATTTCAAAGTTAAGTAACATATTTTTAATAATAAATCGAACAATGGGATGCTTGATTTTCTAAATTTTTGCTTAATTAACATTATTTTTAATTTTAATATTCCTATGTTGACCTCATTCAATTCTTTATGTATCCTCCAGACAGCTTGAAAAAGATATGCACTTTTTCAAAGAATAGTGTTTTACACATTAACCTCTAGAAATTTACTTTATTTATGCATTTCAACATTTGTTTTACTCTAATAAGCTCCACTTTTACTTCTGCAAATACTATTTTCATTAAAATTCAAAGAGCATATTTTGAACTAAAACAAAGATATTTAATAATAAAGTTATGTTGTTTATATGAATTTATTTCTATAAATTAAAATAAATGGATATTGTAAGGATCAACTTTATGAATCACTTTAAAATTTGTAAAATCCAAAAGAACTTCCATTATCCATTTATAAATCGAGTGTTCCCAAAGTACTTTTAAGCGTGTTTGTTTCCTCAAATATTGTTATCAAATCAATATTGTATATAATGTATTTGATATAAATTCTTGTGGGTAATTTTGATAAAGTTCATTTCTAATTAATAATTAAGCATCAACAACATGCTTTTTAATTAGAAAATTAAAGAAATTTTATGAGTAACAAATACCTTTTAGATAATCAAAACTGGTTTGTCTAAAGGAGAAAATATATATCCCAAAGCCATAATAAACTAAAATTTCTGATATTGCATGGTATAGAACAAGCACAATTATTAAATTAAATTATAACATGTTATCTTTCCCAGAATTTTAGAAAATAATTGATGAGCAAATTTTGATTATTTTATCATCTTTAGATTATAATATTGATATGATCAGACACACTATCTATTATTCAGTTTTTAACTATATTACTAATATTAATACTTAGAATAAGATTTTAAGTCCTAGATGCAAAATCTTAAAAATTAAATTAGCATATATGTTTTATATTAACATATTCAATTTTCAACCTTAAAATTGTAGCATTTTTTTGAATTACAAAAACCTATTATTTTTTTGTATTTATTTTGTAATATTGATTTTAATTAGGTCAAAAATAAAACTGAGATTGTCAGCAGGTCAAAAATAATAAAAATACAAGTAATAATAAATTATTTTATAGACTAAATCAAAGATTTATTTATTTCAGGATACTGGCAGGATCCCATCAATCCATATAAATTCTTTTTATGTCTGTCTTTTAGTTGTATATCATAATCCTTCTTTTTTATAGCACAATTTTTATCCTCATAATCTACATATAATACTTATAAATTCAATTTATTGATCATTTATCAAATTTTTCTCCTACTCTACTGATTAAAATCATGTAAGCCATACTTTCACAGTTCCTAATTTTTCATTCTCCTAGTCATGACATAGATTATCTATCTCATCGGAGAAATTCATTTTAATAAACTAAATACTATTCTAAACTACTCTAAAAGATTAACTAATCAAAAGACAACATATTCTACTATTTATATTAATTATGGAACAGATAGATAAATGATTAATATCATATGTTTTCAAAGACTTTCCTCAATACTTTTCTTCTCAAATTAAAATTAATTAATAGAATTTGAATTAAAAAATAAAAAATAAAAGTTATTACAAACCAAATTGATTACAATCTGCTGGTTTGCCTAAATAAATGATATTCTTCAGAAATACAAATTAAATTAAAATTGTAATTGGGAAATTTAAATTTGTTTGTGGCAATCATAATAGTGATAACTATTTCATATATAATATTGANAAAATTTGTAAAATCCAAAAGAACTTCCATTATCCATTTATAAATCGAGTGTTCCCAAAGTACTTTTAAGCGTGTTTGTTTCCTCAAATATTGTTATCAAATCAATATTGTATATAATGTATTTGATATAAATTCTTGTGGGTAATTTTGATAAAGTTCATTTCTAATTAATAATTAAGCATCAACAACATGCTTTTTAATTAGAAAATTAAAGAAATTTTATGAGTAACAAATACCTTTTAGATAATCAAAACTGGTTTGTCTAAAGGAGAAAATATATATCCCAAAGCCATAATAAACTAAAATTTCTGATATTGCATGGTATAGAACAAGCACAATTATTAAATTAAATTATAACATGTTATCTTTCCCAGAATTTTAGAAAATAATTGATGAGCAAATTTTGATTATTTTATCATCTTTAGATTATAATATTGATATGATCAGACACACTATCTATTATTCAGTTTTTAACTATATTACTAATATTAATACTTAGAATAAGATTTTAAGTCCTAGATGCAAAATCTTAAAAATTAAATTAGCATATATGTTTTATATTAACATATTCAATTTTCAACCTTAAAATTGTAGCATTTTTTTGAATTACAAAAACCTATTATTTTTTTGTATTTATTTTGTAATATTGATTTTAATTAGGTCAAAAATAAAACTGAGATTGTCAGCAGGTCAAAAATAATAAAAATACAAGTAATAATAAATTATTTTATAGACTAAATCAAAGATTTATTTATTTCAGGATACTGGCAGGATCCCATCAATCCATATAAATTCTTTTTATGTCTGTCTTTTAGTTGTATATCATAATCCTTCTTTTTTATAGCACAATTTTTATCCTCATAATCTACATATAATATACTACAATCAGGGAGGAATCAATATTTCCAATTATATTTTTTGCATTTCTTTTAACAAAATTGTACTTATAAATTCAATTTATTGATCATTTATCAAATTTTTCTCCTACTCTACTGATTAAAATCATGTAAGCCATACTTTCACAGTTCCTAATTTTTCATTCTCCTAGTCATGACATAGATTATCTATCTCATCGGAGAAATTCATTTTAATAAACTAAATACTATTCTAAACTACTCTAAAAGATTAACTAATCAAAAGACAACATATTCTACTATTTATATTAATTATGGAACAGATAGATAAATGATTAATATCATATGTTTTCAAAGACTTTCCTCAATACTTTTCTTCTCAAATTAAAATTAATTAATAGAATTTGAATTAAAAAATAAAAAATAAAAGTTATTACAAACCAAATTGATTACAATCTGCTGGTTTGCCTAAATAAATGATATTCTTCAGAAATACAAATTAAATTAAAATTGTAATTGGGAAATTTAAATTTGTTTGTGGCAATCATAATAGTGATAACTATTTCATATATAATATTGACCTATTCCTTTATGATATTATTAACTTAATTTGCAAATTTAATAATCCTCTGTGAATTTAGATAATATACAATATAACCTATTAAATCTACCATAAATATTATAAATATAATTAATTTTTTCTAATTATTATTATTTCATTTTAAAATATATCCCTAAAATCTAAAAAACATTTTTTTTTAAAGTAACAAGAATGATCGAAATAGTTTGCAATTTAAATAATTTTAATTTGCAATATACATACTCGCATAATGATTGGATAATTTAATTACAATATTAAAATAATTTCTACTAAATGTTTCACTTAAATTTAATACAATATTAATCTAATTCTCAATTATACCTTAATGAGTGTTAACAATTAGTTGATTTACAGAGCTTTAAAAACTTTGCTTGAAAAAAGATATAAATTTGGAAGGAGTCGAAAAAATCAAAAAAATTTGCTTCTAAAAAATGAATAGGGAGTTACTAAAATAGACTTGTATAAAAATCGAAATATTTACTTCTTATTGATGTAAGAAGAATTAAATTAAATAAATGATATCTCCTATTTTTGCTCTGCCTTTGCATTTGGATCAATAATTATGATAAATTTTAATTTAACTTTCAAGCCAATAAATTTATATATTTTAATTTATATATGCTTTTCATAATATAAATTCAAGCTTAGTAAATAAATTGGCAAGATGGATTAAGCTTAAAGTATTAATCTAACTAACAATGCTAGGTATTCAAATTATTTAATTTTGAACATTAAATATTATATTTCAATACATTTTAGAATTAAAAAACAAAATTTTTTTTACTTTTCACTAAAGCTCAAACTTAAACTAAATTGAATAAAATAATTAAATTTATTCTAAACTTTAATTAAAGCATGGATTAAATTAGAAATATTAATATTTAAATTATGTTTTCATAAACTTTACTTGCTTTCCTTTTGTGGGTCTAGTTGTGCTCATCTAATATTCTTACATGTTTTTATCAATATGATGATTCCCTGCTTCAAATTGATTATTCAAGGCCACAATAAAAAACAATAAAGATTAAATCTAACCTAATTGAGAATAATGCAAAAGGGTTTGGATTTTGGTCAAAATACATAGCAATTATGGATTTTGATTCTTTTACTCAATTTACTAGACCTTGTGATCAACAGTATGAATTTATGGGTTAATGTATTTTTAATGGATTTTTTTTCATGAAAATCCTAGATTAAAATCAAGATAATGTTGCAGCTGTAATTCTCAATATGAAGGATGAGCCAATAAGCTTGACTCATGAAATATACTTGTTTGCAGTAGGTCCAAATGAGTATTAATAAGCTAAATTTAATTTTGAAGCCAGCCGATATCAAAATACTTGGTATTACACGTCAATTGTTTATTAAGATATCGATCATAAATTAAGAATATTTACAAATTTTGAATATTAAGTCTAATCATTCGATTATCAGATTATGACTGATGAAATAACCATCCTTTTGGGAGGCTATGATTAATAATTATATAATAACTACGTTTTTGATGGATACTAATTACTCTTTTTTAAGGGGTATTTTTCACCAATACAAGAATATGATGAATTTGGATATTCTAATGACTTTTTTTAAGGCCTATTTACGTAATGCCTATTTTAAGAATAGCTCACATACACCAAGATATATGATGAGAATGCAATAATAGATCCAAGTTAATAACAATCAGATGATTTCTCAACTTTATCTTACCAGTATCAAATTGTAAATAATCGATACTTGGTTAAATGTTGGGTTAAATAAGATTACCAGGAGGTACTAATACCGATATCATTTTAAGGCATTTTAATACTATTTAAATTAGTATGACCGAACATATCTATAGCTTCGGCAAACACTGTTTCATATTGATTCCTTAAGGTACTTTCTCTAAGAATTGCAGGGAGATAGACTTCTCGATTTATATTATGAAGTATCAAATCAAATAATTAGGTCGATTTTGAAAACAATAAAGAAACAATTATCAAAATTTCGTCAGAATTCATTAAAATACCTGTACTGATAGCGTAGTATAGTGATGAGAACTTAAGACAATATGATACAGTAATTGTACGAAAGGATAATCTATATGAATTAACTTAATAATGGCATTATATAATCATTGAATATGGGAGGAAGCCTGTAAATGGAGCGATTTTTTAAATACAATTTGTTTTTCTGAATGAAGAACATCTTATTTATAATTTAGGAACATAAGACTATAACACTTAGTTGCTTGGTTCAAATATAATACAACACATACTTAGATAGGATGATAATTTTATAAAAAGTAGAACAAAAATTCGTCATCTTAAGTTTATCACAGGATATCATGAAGACAACAATTAATCAGAATTGGGTACAGTTATAAATTACTTTAGAATGCCATTCTAGTTGCAATGGTTGCTTTGGACCAATGAACTATCAATGTAAATCTTGCTATTTAGAATTCAATTATGAATTGACTTCATTAAATGTTTGTGACTGCAAGTATCTGACATCATTCGTTTAAGAACTACAAAAGTGCAAACCTATTGAAGACTTTGAATATTTATAAATTTCTTAGGAAAAATCATAGATTTTATGCAATTTTGGATATTTCTAAGCAAAGCATAATAATGAAATATATTGCATTTAGTGGTACGATGAATTCTAAAATTATTAGTCCAGAATATCAAAAAGAGAGATTGCTATGTGGCGATTGCTATCATTATTCAACAACATGGTATCTGAAGCCAGTTTGTACATTTGATTACATATAATAATCAGCAGAATATCCTTTTATTAAAATTGTGAGATAAAACATTCATTACGATGTTTATTATTTAGACGATTTAATATAACTACAACTTCTTTAAGGAGCTGCTGATTTTTGTGACGACACTTAAGAAGATTGCTAAGTTAGTCAAAATTATCATCTAGGATAATAAATCAGAATGAAATGCAAAAAAAATCATTTTTTCGAAAATAACTAATGCTAGATTTGTGATCCATATTGTATTGATTGCTAATCTAAGGATATTTGCATTAATTGTATTGAGACTCATTACTTCAATGCTTTATCTTAGAAATGTGAATTCTGCCCTTAAGAATGCTTAACTTGCACCAGAGATAATAATACTGAAACTGGTTATCGATGCTTGACTTGTAGCAAGTAAGAGTTAATTATTGATATTTTCAAGGTTTCATGCATTGACCTAGGATGGGAGATGTTAATAATGTGGATTTGACTGTGAGTATTGTAGAGAAGATTATAATATAATAGCATAATAATATTTCATGAGATGCTTAAAATGTACTGATCAAAAAGTAATGGCCATTAGATTTGATGGTATTAATTGCAGAGTAATTATCATTTAAAATTGCTAATATGTGATGCTTGTTTCCAGGGCTAATATTTGGGCTTATTCTACTTATGATTATAATTTTGAACCTAAAAACGATATTGATGATGAATTTCCTATTTGTGGATAATGTGAAAATGGTTATGGATATAATTTTTACGAGGAACTATGTGAACCAAGGTTTTATGATGCAAATTGTGTTTAGTCTTTTTATACTCAAATGCTTTATAATGGTGCCATCTATGATTATCAATAGTTTTGTCTGATTAGTAATTATTATAGTGGTCCTGCCACTTAGGGAGATGAGTGCACATCATAAATTGCGAATTGTAAACTTTGTTATAATCCATCATAATTTTAACCTTCCTTTTTTTGTATTGAATGCAAATAAGGATATTACTCAAATCATTCTACTGGATAATGTTCTGTGTGTGCAGAATCTTTAAATTGCAACACTTGTTACAATTCTATAAAAGAATTTAATGATTCATGGAAATTGAATCTTTAAGCTTTCAATTAATTTTTGAAATAATAATACAATTAATAATATTTTGTATTTTAATCATTCTATACTAATAGTTTACCCAGGATGAGAGCAGTAATCCTTAAGACTATTAACTAATATGTACTTCATGTAAGACTGGCTTTAAGTTGTAGGATGGAAAATGCATTAAGTATTGTGATTCAGACTGTCAAAATTGTTAATACTCAGATGGATAATATTATTGTTATTACTGTGGGAGGAATAATTACCACAATTTATTGAGTTTAATTCAATATAAATGTTCAAATTGTCCTAGTTATTGTGAATTTTGCAGACAAAGATCATTTGATGAAATGCTGTCATTAAATTCTAATTTTGTTTAAAATTAAAAGAATTAAATCTATTCTTATTAATGCCTTAAGGCCTACTCCTTTAATCAAAATCTAAATTATGATTAGGATTTTGGATAATTTATCCCTTGTTAAAATTAAATTGGCTGCGAAAATGTTATTAGTTTCTATATGAATCTATACTGTGTTGATGATGATTACTATAGTGCATTATCTTTAATTAGTGATTAGAATCAATAAATTTAATTCAAAATGAAGAACATACTATTTGATTCCTTGTTATAATCTAGTCCAAAATAATCTAGTTTTATTGATGTAAAGTATATCTATTATTTTAGATTGAAATAGATTCAAAATTTGAAATCATGAATAAGAAATTTATTAAAAAAGTCAGAATTTATATCACTTCCAATCAAGAATAGACTTGTTCAGTTAATTAGATAAGTTACATCTCTTAAAAATTTTCCCAGAACGTTTTTAGTCTAATGTAAATATTTTCTTATAAAAAGTGATGTTTAATTAATAATTTCCTCTTAAATGGAATAACCTCTAAAAATCAAAGTTTTTCAAGAGCTGCACTTTTTGGATTTTTCATTTATACGATTTGAAAATATTTAATTTGAAATCCAATAATCTACAAATTTACTATTATTTAGTGTTGAAGGATTTAAACCAATTAATTTAGAAATGGAAAAAATAGAATTTTAATCCTCTGTGAAGAAATAACCATCATCTCTCATATTTCAAGGCAAGTAAATTTCTAAAATAAAATTTAATGAAATTCATCTTAAAGATTTAATTTTTAAAAATGAAAACATAACAAGCATCTTTTAGCTATAATTCTTATCATCCAATGCATTAATTTAAATTAACAAATTTTAAATCTTGAATTGTATTTTTCACAAAGTTAATGTATTTGAATTCTAATCAAATTAAACAATTACAATATAATTTGATCAAATAAAGATATAAGCCAATTTAAATGTTAGTTCATTATTAACAACAAAAATCAAAGATATAAACCTCTTAACCATTTCAAACTTTTTAATTTCTGGTTAAATGTAAAATTCAGAGCCTTTTATAAGTTTAAACAATACAGAAATTGCTTAAGTTGAAAATCTAACATTAAGTGATATGACACTTATAGATTCAATTTTTATGTAATTTGAGAAGTATGTGATAATCAATAATATCATTATTAACTAATGCAAAACTATTGGAATAGTTTACATTATCTGTAACTTTATACCTAAAGAAATGAGTAATCAAACTCATTTAACTTACTTTATGAATCAAATTACAATACAGAATTTGAATTCAAATTATCTCTCATAAATAATATACTTACAACCATTTCACTCTGCTCTATCATCAGTAGACATAAAGAATATTCTAATTTTTAATATTTCTTTAAATAACCAAAATAATGTTTAGTTCGATTAATATGAGTCCTCTGTCATACATATCGAATTGCAAATTGTGAGAATTTAATATTGTACAATAAAAAGAGGATATGGATTCATTTAATTTTTATTAAAAAATATTTAAATATTAGAAATCATAGATTTACAAGCATAATAATTGAAGAGACATTAATTGCATTAATTTTATGATTGCTCTGATTTAAATCCTAATCATTATAAAAGTATTATCAAATTATCTGATGTACAAAGCATTCATTTCGAACAGTTTTATATCACTGATTTTAATGTGATAAACTCTGCCCTAATTGTATTTTAAAGTTATTCTTAATTATTGACTGAATCTAAATATCACTTAACAGACTTCATAGTCAAAGAAAATATTATTATTGTATCTAAATCTTAAGAAAGTGCTTCACTAATATATATTGATAGTAGATTAAAAACCTAAGTCACTCTTGTTAATATAGAGATTACACGAAATTAATTACATAATTATGGATAAAACTTATTCATATTTTCAGCCGTTGGTGTCTTAATAAATTGTCCTTCTGGAGACATTAAAATGGAATCAAACATATTCAACTCAAATTTTGCAACTAACTCAACAGACACTATTACATACATCTTTGCAAAATCTGTAATCATGAATTCAGTATAATTCTTCAATAATTCCATTTATAACATAGATTTACTGTTAAAAAATATTATTCTTAGTTTTCCCAGAGATGATATTGTTAGGTTTAGTAATTTAAAGAATATCTTTCCATTAATTAGTGAAGTAGGAAATTCATATCTTTAAGCTGAAACTGTAATTGTTTAAAATTGTTAGGTTGAAAATTCTTCAGGAAAGAACGGAGTGGGGTTTTACATAAATGCACTCATTATAAAATTCATAGATGTAGATTTTAAAAATTTAAAAACTCAATTCAAAAATAATGAAGAGCATGGAGCTTGTATTTTTATTGACATTCCATCTCAGAGCTCTTAAATTTTTCTTTCACACATCAGTGTCTAAAACGTTATTTCCAAGGATTATGGAGGCTTTCTCTATATAAAATCAGATCATGATTATTTGAATCTTACCCTGTAAAATCTCACCTTATAAAGATGTTTCTCTTCTAAAGGAACAGTACTTTATGCATCTTTTTAAAAAACTTCATTATCAAATAAATTGAACATTCTAGATGTCAACATAAGAGATTAATTCACTGCCTTATATGATTACTTTTAATAAATGATTAACAATCCAACTATCTAAATTAATCTAAATAATAGAACTTCATTTTATGCTGAAAATTCCGTTATGAACTTTACAAATATACACTTATCAAATGTGTCAGGAGAATCATTATTCTATTGCATAGATTAAGGAAATATCCTTTTGAATTAAATTATTATTATTAATGGCACGATGCCAAAATAAAGCCTATTATACATACAACCTAGAAATGGTATAAATTATAGTTATTTAAATAGATTTGGAAACTGTGATAAGTATCAAGGGATTGCAAGTTAAGAACGTATTATAATAAAGTACCTAAGGTGAGAGATGTTAATTACCTAATTAAGCTAAATCTAAAAAAATTTAAAATATGTAATGTTAATTTGAACTTCCAAATAATAATTTTGAAAGAGATATCGATATAATTAGTAACCAATTAATGGATTGCCTATATAATCAATATCTTTATTCATATTCAATTTAGTAGCAAGCCATTATAACCATAACCTAGATAAAAGACTGTGATATTATCAAGCTTTAGGACATAAGTTTCATCAACAACGATAACTCTTTATCGAAAAGCGGAGTCGTGTTTTTGGAATTGAATAAGTAAAAATATAATACTTATTAAATTTCAATAAAAAATGTGAATATAAGGGATAATTAATGCGGCTAAGTTGGTTGCATATATCTAAACTCAGATATTTATAATGAAAAGTCCACCTTATTATTTAATCAACATAATCGAATCTTACAAATAAGTAAAGAATAGATATTAGCATAACTTAAACATGATGTAGTTATTGTTAATTATAAATGTTTGGGTAATTCTGCAGAATTTGGAACATGTTTATTTTCAAATTAATCCAATATACTAATATAAAATTCAATTCTACAAAATAATTAAGCAAAACAAATTGGAGGAACTATTTATTTTATAGGATTAGAATCCAGTTTATTTTTATTGGACTCTCAAATCTTAAGAAATTCGGCACAAATTGCAGGTGCAATCTTTTATGAAAATAGTATAAGTTAAGATATGCGAGGATTCGATACTAGTTTTTCTGAAAATCATGCATCTTTTTTTGGAAATGATCTTGTTTAATCTCCAGAACATTTATCAATTACATTAAATAATTATAGAAGCACTTTTAACACTTATGCAATTAAGAAAAATAATGACTCATGGTATGAATAATTAGCTAATTCGAACACTGATAACTAAGTAATTTTTTTACCTAGTGGTACTCCAATTCAGAATTATCAATAATTTAACTAGGATACCTAGGAATTATAATCTTTGGCCTTAACCTTTAGGATTGTTGCCTTAGATAACAATTATTCTAAATAATTTAACTTGATTAATTCAAAGTGTGCCATTGAAACTAAGTTGTTCGATTTGGAATAATAAGAATTCATTGATGTTTATAATCAAACATTCATATCTCAAAATTCTGTCTATTTTAATACAACAACAAATGATTACAATCTAGATGATTTGATTATTCTATTTGATAGTGATAATACAAATAAAAAATACTTATAATTAGTAATAACATGTGATAGCATCAAAATAAAACAATATGATGAAAGCAATCTCATTATCAAATCATTCCACACTAATTACAAACTATTCGTCAATATTAACACGTATAAATGTAGAGTAGGAGAAATCAAGTCTTTAACAGATATGTCATGTCATGAGTGTGCTTCAGAACTAGACCAATATTCACTAAAACTTAATTCAAATAAGTGTAACATAAGGGATGAGCAAACGACCTTAAATGTCACTTCATTTAAACTAAATCTAAGAAAAGTATGGAATCTATTCTTATTCAATCTAGGGTTTTTGGAGACCATACTTTGATAACAATTAAATTGAAGAATGCTATAATTTAAAAGAGAATTGTATTGGATAATGGGATTATGGAGATAGTTCATGTTACTTAGGTCACATAGGAGCATTGTGTGAGTAATGTGATATCCAAAACACAAGAGGACAGGGAAAATTCTCAAATGCTTAGCAATATACTTGTGGATCTTGTGATGAAATTCGATATAATTTGCTCTAAATTGCTGGGTTCAGTACTTGGTAAATTATGAATCATATTTAAGGACATTAATAACCATCGTTCTTAGTGTTAAAGGGGCAATAACAAATCAATATTATTTCCTAGAGTCTCCTTACTTAATCAAGATCTTTACCAACTATTTATAGATCATAAGTTCCTTAACTTCATTTAAGTTAAATTTGCCAGTCAGCTATTTTTATTTTTTAAATGGAGTTGGAAGTCCAATACAAAGGATTTCTTATTCAATGGATTGCTATTTAAGTATTATAATTAAATATTGTATAGTTAATTTATCCTATTTGGATATTCATTATATTAGATTAATTTGGTAATTAATACTTCCATGCATTTACTTTTTAATCCTAGCTTTATTCTATTCTTTCCTCATCTATCTAAATCAAATTAAATATAGAGGGCCAATTGTAATGACGGCTATTATCTATATGTACATTTACTTTTAGCCCAGCTTAATCGGATCACTAATTGCTTTAGTATCAACTCGCTAAATTTCAGGAGTCTCCTGGATCTAAGCCAATGTTGCTTATAAATTTGATACTCTTGTGCATAAAAGATGGGTCCTAACATTTTGCACTCCATTCCTCTCATTATTTGGCATTATAATACCTTTGGGATTACTATTTGGAATGTACAATTAAAGACATAAACTCATTTACAAAAGAGGCAAAAGTCTATTTGGATATCTTTATTATGAGTACAAGCCATAGGCCTACTTTTGGGAGATAATTAAGATTATAACAAAAGAATTAGTTATTTTGTTTCTGATCTTTTATGAAGACTCAATAATATTAAAAGGTTCACTTATTTATTTTATTCTTTTATTTTATTAATTATTAAACCTTAAATACTAACCTTTTAAGTCTTACAGATTGAATCTGCTGGATTATTAATCAACATTGATTTGTGGAGCATCAATCATTTTGGGAATAGGACTTAATATGGAATATGAATTTAAAAGCATTTCCAACATTTACTTTTTTGCATTGTTTATTATCAATATATTTATAATTGCCAAATTATTGCTTTGCATCATTAATTCGTATGTTAATGAAATGGAGGACAAAATTGATGTAATTAAGAAAAAGATTTTATCACTTTTACCTAATTCATTAAGGATGAGTCATCAATGTCAAAGAATACTGCAACTCAATGTTGAAAGAAGAAAAAGGGTAACAAATAACTTTAAGAGAATGAAATCCGCTTATAAACAATTTTAACAAAGATCTAAACAGTCCTCCAATCAATAATTGTTTAATACAATCTCAATTTAGTAGATAACCTAAAGAACAACGTAATAAATATCATAAATTAATTTAGAAGTCAACTCACTGAAAGGGATCAAGGCACTAGCTAAAATGCACTATTATCCTAATAATAATAGAAATGAATGAGTCTTGAATAAGAAGTTGTGAATTGTATTTTAAAATAATAAAATTTATATTTTTAAAATATTTGAATTAGATTAGAAAAATAATTTTTAAGGAGATTTATCATAATATAAGGGAAGTAATGGTTTTTGTAATGGTCAATTTAAATTAATTATATATATAAAATATAGAAAACTTGTTAAAATAATATTACTAAATAATTATTAATATTTCATTGACTCATTATCTCATTATCAATTTCTTCTTGTAGATTTCTTGATTTCAGATCAAAGTCAATAGGATAAATTTTATTATTAGTTTTTGGTTTTTCTTAGAAATTCCTTATTTCATTTTCAAAATCGGAATTTCTTTCTAAACCGTAAGTTTTTAGTTTTTCTGGATAGCTATCGCTTTAGGTGTGCATTTAATATAAACCTGGGTTAGAATGAACAATCTCCAATAGATATTTCCTTATCTTTTAAAATCTAATATGTATTCGTTATTTTTGTTATTCTCGATTTGTTAGAAGTCTCTTTAGAATATAATTGGAATTTATTAAATTTGGAAATCTTTTATTGATTTTATCCCTTATTTTATCCAGATTTTATTGTTAATTTTCCAATTAAGCCAATAGTATTCCCCATACAATATATAAAATGAATACACCGTTTAACCCAATAAGAAATATATAAAATGGTAGAATTATCTCTTAACTGTTTGATATGTCAGCTTAATATATGGTAATTGATAATACTATGGAAGTACCGCAAATCAGTGTACTAAACTCATCAATAATATTTAATTAATTTAGTTAGTAAGGTCTATACTTTTTAGTCAGTAATTGATATATAAAAACAATGATAAAAACCAAAGCTCCTTTTATGATGATTAAGTCTTCATAAAATGTTAAAAAGATAATAATAAATCCTTTTTACAAAATTTTGACTATTTCCCAAAAGTAAGCACTCCTTGAATACTCATTATACAAATATCCCCAATTTTTTCTTGTGTTTTAATCTTCCAGTTTATTTCTTTATAAGTATAAACTAGCAAACATATAGGCAGGAATAATAAATGCTAAAACCAATGTGACAGGAAAAATAAACGTTAAAATCCAATTAAAATGCTCTTTAGTATCATATCTATAAGCAACATTACCTTGAATCCAATATAAATTTGAGATGTATCTAAAGGATAATAAAGAGATCAATCCTCCAATCAAATTTGGTTAAAAATATGTGAATAAATAGATTGATGAAGTTGTAAATGCACTCTTATTCAACTTTGTTATATTAAAACTAACAGCCAATAAATAAATAGTAGCGAATGTTAGAATGTAAATAAGAGGTAATATCAAAGCCCAGACCATTCTGAAATAAATAATATTGATATCTGAGATGCCTGCTAAAAAGCAGTCTAATGATAAACTCATGGTTTCTATTGGATTTCCAACTGATTTCACAGAAGTTGATAGTCCACTTGGCATTGATAATTAGAACGTAGAGATCACTCCAATGATTTAGAAATAATTGGTTAATACTTTGATTAATACATTCCCTTGAGTTGCTCTAGGGTCCGCTGAGGCTATTTTTAATAAAATTCTTTTCTATTGAATTACCGCTTTATCTATTGTTTCTATTGTACCTTTTACAGATAGAAAAATTGAGATCATTGTCCAAATACTAATTAAAGCTACTTTTGCAGAGTTACCACTAACATTTTCACAGCTTCCACATTTATAAATTGTGCTTACAGAATAAGAACCTTATCCTCTGATATTATAAAGGTCGCACTGCTCACATAAAGCCCCTATATGTGCCGATGAGCAGATTTCGTTGCCAGGAGTCCATCCACCTTCACAACTCTCAGGCATATTCAAACAATATTCTATATTTTCACTGCTCTCATAGGGTCTCCAATAATGAGGTCTCAACATGATTCTAGCTGAAGTAACATTTTGCATTCTGATTGGATCCTTTATTCTACATTATTCTCCTGCTCTTACGTTGTATTGATAAGATTTTGGATCACATAATTTACATGTTCCTTATACAGTTTTATACTCTCCCCTTTAACAAGGGAATGTTTATAAATTCACCCTTAATTTATAATTTGTCAAATAATATTTGAGTAAGTATGGAGGTTGATCATCAAAGATAGGAATTTTCACTGAATCACAAATTATTTCCAATTATAAATAGTTCTAATGTGATTAATCAGGATCAAAATTAATAATCATTTAGTCTAAATTATAATCCTAACTTGTTTAATTGAATTCAATATCTTTTATACTAGTAAAGTTATCCTAAAATCCTCCTTCCTTTCCATTAATAATCAATCGACCTTTCAATGTACATTTGCTTCCATCTAATGCTTTCACTTAACTATTTCCTTTATCTAGTGGAATTATTCTAAAAGTTAAATTTAAAGGCAAGTATTCTTGGGTTTATTCAATAAAAAATTTATAATCTTTAATAACTTGTCCGCTGGGAAGCATTAGAAAGTTTTCTTCCTTTTAACCTATGAAATATTTCTCAATGTCGATCTGCTCAATAACTTAGTTTTGGCTATTCTCTATGGTTTTTGTATTCATAAATTTTGAACCAATTTCTAAAGTTAGTTTTACTGGAAAGCTAGCTACATTATCACTAAATAGAGATGCTTTGTTTTTTGAATAAATCACATTTGTCTTATCTTTGTCAGGGATTGCATAGTTTTTTAAAAACATAGCTCCTCCAACCTTTGCTTAATTATTTAAAAATTCGGAATTATAAACTAAGAATAAAGATTATTCTTAATAGTCAAAATAAATAGCTCCACCCGTTTCTTTTGCAACATTCATTATAAATTAACAAGATGTTATAAGTACACTTATTGAAGAGATATAAGCTGCCCCTCCATATGTGCCAGTATTATTTTTAAAGTAACTAGACTCAAGCTTCACAGTTGTTAGCTTATTTTCATAGTAATTTTCAATCTAATTTAATAATCTTTGTGATTTTTTTTCTGTGAATTATCTCAAGTTCGTAATCATCATTTTAGATGATATAATTAAACAACTCAACAGTCCACATTCATTATCTTACATTTTTATTGAGTTGAGACGCATCAAATTGTTATTTTTTTATTCTTCTATGTTTATAAATTTTAATATTCCTTCTTTGCAGTTGGAACATATGATATCCTGAAAGTTTAGATTTTCGAATAAAATTTAATGTTATGAGGCAATTGAATCAACTTAAAATATAAATTCAGGGTTGGTTCTTTTTAATATTAAGCTAAAAAAATTGTCAAGACTAATAATATATTGATTTTATTAATCATAAAAAGTTTGCAGTTACTCTGGAGATGAGTATAATTTGAAACATTAATAAAAGTGTTTAGGAAGGTATGGAATTATTTCAATTGGTTTTAAGACATCTCCTATTAGTTCTTTGAAAGATACTAACTAAACATTGACTAATTACACAACTGTCAGTTATTCTAAAATATGAAAAATTATGTACTTTTATTTAGCTTAAAGTTCAGTGTGCTTCCACTAATTAATGTTTAATTTGATATCTCAATGTTTTTTAAAGTAATTGATTCCGCATTTATTATTTCCATAACGCCGTAATCTAATAAATCTCTAAAATTGCAATTCTCTAAAGTAATATTGCCTCTTTCAATTGAGATTAGATAATTTTTTGCTTAAAATTTTATTTCTTATTCGCTTAAATTATTAATTCTACCTAAGTATTATAGAAAACCTTGATATGTATTTTTAATTAATAAATCAGAAATTACAACATTCAAAATTAGAGAGTTGCTCATAAAAATTATAGGAAGTTTAAAGAAAGCGATTGCCAATGAATAAACATTTAAAATTACATTTTTTGAAATTACTATCTAATTCTTATTTCTTGAAGGTTCTAAAAAGATTGTTCCTCCTTCTTACCTACTAAAACTTTACGAAAACAGATTGTTTGATATTAATAAATTTAAATCTGATTGAGAAGAGTCAATAAATAATGTTCCCCCTTGTGATTTCTCTACATTTATAAATTGGTTTGGCTGAAATTGAAATTACAATTCTAAATTTCAAGAACCCCATAAGATTAAGTTCCAAAATAGAATGCTCCTCCTTAATAAGCCACTGAATTTTAACTTGAAACATTCCAAAAGTAAATTGTGTTAGCTTAGCAAAATGCATTTCCTCCCTTAGACCTGATGGGGAAAATTTCATACAAATTCTCAACATAAGTAATTTCATCTTATAGATATCCCCAAATTAATCTATCCTTTAAATATTAATTTTAAGAATTAAAATAACTATCCGTAATATTGAGACTGTTGCCAATAAATACTAAATTAGCCCCTTAATTATTTGTGATTATGTTATTTTCAAAAGAAGAATTACTTAATATAATTTCCGAGTTAGGATTCTATATGTAAATTGTTGATGATTATTTATAGATTTGGTCTTCTTGATAAGTATGATGATGGTTATTAAAAACTGTAATGTCTTGCAAATTGATTTTCTACTCTTACTCAGATATTATGCTAATAACGCTAGGCTGCTCTGAAAGTTTAGTCAGAATTAAGGTATTATTTACCAAGTTAAGAAGTTTCATTTCAATTTTTTCAAAATTTCTTATATTCGTTCTTTCCAAAGATTTAACTGTTATAATAGGCTAATTGATAGCTATTAAGCCTCTAATCTCCAGATTCTTAATTAAAAAAATTTTAGCATTATATACCAAAATCATGCTACCATACCCAATTTCTATATTCTTCTATAAACAAGAACTTTATTAATGGAACAATTTAATTTTATATTCATTTTCTAAAGTAGCTTTGAAATTATTTATCACTATCTAGTCCGCATTGCTAATAGATATCTCTGGGAGAGTGAATGCTCTAATAATGTTAACATTCTCCATATTAATATACTTCACATCAAAATATAAAGAAGAATTAGCTGTATTTACAGAAGTCATTTCATTTTGGTTTGTAAATTTATTGGATTGAATAGTCAATCCATTAATCCTAACATCTAAATTCAAAAATTGATCGCTTTGCAATAGTTCTATGAACACTTTGCTTCCAATAAAATTATTATTAATATAAGTTATTGTGTTAAATGAAATTATATTTGTTTTGATATTGTCCTAGTATAATGTATCAAGTTTATTTGTTATTACGACGCTATCAGGACTATTGAAATTATTGTTTGATATTAACATTTTATCAACTGAAAATAAAGGTAGTTTGAATAGTTATGCTTTAAGATTGAATATCCCATTAGAAACTTTAACGTTGATTAATTTTACGCTTAATGCTCCTGGTACATTAATTAGATTTGAATTAGCTAATTCATCATATTCTGAATTGAATTATTCAATGTGGATAATGGATTCCCTAATTGAATTCATAAATTTAGTTTACAAAAGAATAGATGACTCATATTTATTATTGAATGACTTGAGATTATTGATTTTGAGCTCTTGATTTCCATATCCAGTATCCAAAATTTAAACAATTAATTTTGAATTGATTATTACACAATTGAAGATTAGAAATTGATTAATTTCAAACACCAAAGGTTTTGTTAAATTTTAAGTAAAATAATAATTTATAATTCCATTCAGATTTAATAGTTTAGAATCTTAAATTTACACATTTTTCATAATTATATTTGTTGGATTTTAGATCTATATGCAGATTTAATTTTAGTTGATATTAATTAATGTAATTTCCTCTATTATTACAGACACACCAAATAAATTCTTAATGTTTATGTAAGTTATATTACTATTTGGAATAAGCTAAAGATTTTTGAAGTTAATTGAAGTGAATTCATAAAAAGTAATATTATCCTCAAGATAAATTTACATACCACTCTAAGATTGCAAAACTAATTCTAAATATTGTAAAGTGAAGACATTTCGACGGATTTCTGATTTAAGAAATGCATTTTTTGTGATCAAGCAATCTCCTGCGTTTGGTAATAAGGTTAAGATATATCTCACTAATTTTACGCTTTTTTGGTTTAATTCATTAAATAGATAGTTAGTTTCCACAGATAAATGGTTGAAATTGGCAGTTGAAAATATATTCGAAATAAGAGCATTTTTGCTTAAAAAGTCATCTTATTCTTCTTAAGTTTCTAGCTTATTAAAATAATGATCAAAAGATTGCTTTGAACAATATAAATTTATTGGAATTTCAAGATAAAGATAGCAATCTTTCTTTTAAGGATTTAGACAATTAATTTCATAACCCAAAGAGGGATCATAGTACAATATACCAGAAGTAGGAGGTTAAGATTAACGTTTAATACATTGCTAAGCATATATTCCTAAGTTAATGTCATCTGGTTAGAAATAAGGATTAATATTAAATTTCTCTTCTTCAGTGATTTCCCTACATAATTCACAAAATTTTGGGCAAAGATGACATTGTCCACTATATGCAGTTTTTGTATTTAAACTTTAACAACTAATACACACAGATTGATCATTCTCTATAATACAAGCATCACAGTTGCATTTTGGATAACATTTATTATTGTAAAGTATACCATTTTATGGGCAAGCTGTGCAAACGACTTCTAAATTTTCTAAATCTAATTTAGTTCCATATGCATTGAAATTGTGCTAACCTCCTAATAAGTAATTCCTAAAATGATAGTTTGGTTTATATTGCCATTTCCAAGCATCTTAATACTTTTTGTTTTATTCGACACATTAGGAACAGTTTGATGGGCATTGATAGCATTTTCCAAGAAATGTATCTGAATAATATCCGTTATAACATTGCATACAATATTATGATTCTTGAACATAATTATCTACACACACCATACATTTAGAATCTTTGCAGAAAGGACCAGAAATTGGATTAGAAATAATAGTAATACTAGAGTAAGAATTAACATTATTTCCGTATATGATAAAAAATTGTGGTAATGGAGATGGTGGCAAACTATATAAAGCTAATTGGAAATCATTGTTTTTCGAGTCAAGTAATTTGAGCTTTAACTCTTAAGGTAATATTGGCCCTAATGAATCTATGGTGACACATTCATACTATGATTGAATGTACATTTTATTTATATATCCATTTTCGCATTTAAGACAGACTTAAAATACTGGAAGTGTTTCTTTGAAAGCAACTATGTCAAGAGAATTACTATATTATTAAGGTTTTAAAAGGTAACTTGAATTAAAATAAACTATATAATGTTCTGCTACTTCAATCTCGCAATTTGGTAGCGTTTTCTTTTTGCAATTTATTTTTTCTGCAGATATGAAATAATCTTAATCGTGTATGCATCTTATACATTGTAGATTATCCAATACAGAGGAAAAAATACAAACTTTACAGAATTAACCACATTGCTGACATTGTTCAAGAGTTGAATTAAAATAATATCCAGTTATACACTCATTACAATACTATCCAGTTATATTGTATTTACAATTAGGACATTCGGATGGACATTCCAAACATTTGTTTTCAAATAGAGTATAGTTTGTTTGACAACTTAAACATTATTGATAATTATTGCATTCATCACAATTTAAATTTACATTTACACATTCCCCATTAATTGGTTGATAACAACTCTTGCATAAAAATTTTGAGATTCTATTCAAGGTGTATTTTTCAATAAAATTGAAAGAATGATCTACTTTATCGAAACATCCAAAGCATGGTTCAAGGATGGGCTATTTCGAGATAATTGGCTAATTTATTAAATAGTATTCGACATCTTGTAATTTTCTCTCTTTTTTTATGAATACATAATTTGTATCATTTGAAAAAGTTTATAGGTAATCAGTTGTGCATTTTGGATTCAAATACCATGAGATAGGATTCTAAATACAATCAATACAATATAATCCATAGGGAGAAATTGCTCCAGGACAATCCAAACAATATAAGCTTTCATTTATTTTTACTTAGAATTAGTATCTTTGACATCCCATATGTTCTGATTCTAAAGCTTCCTAAATATTGATATTTTTTAGAATATTCCCTCGAGCTAAAATAATGTGAATTTTATACGTTTACAGTTTTAACTTCCGTCATCCACAAATCCATCTTAACATTAACATTTTGACTTTGAAAGTGATCTCTTTGAAGTCAAAGTATCCTCACATGATAAACAATGACTTTCTAGTGGACCAAAGCATGCTTTACAAGAATAATGGCACACTATTAATCATAATTTACAATACATTTAGGGATTGGAGTATCATCATTATAACAATATCTGAAGGTTAAATTACGAATTGATCCATTAAAATTTTAGTTGTAATTATCTCCTCCGATATGAAAATACAATTTGGCATTTTAAATATGTTATTATTTCATTGTGAATATTTTCTCTTATTCTCCAGAGCCAAAATAAATTGTCAATTTGATGTTATTTTCTTCATCTATTCCTTCTTGATATACAAACCAGTGCCAAAATGTTAATGCTTCAAAATAATATTAGTTTAATTCTAACCAAGAATCGCTATCTTAGGTTTAATATTAATTGAAGCCTTCTGATTGATTATTATGATAAGTTGTAACTTAAAATCCGTTTAAATTTTCATTAAGAGAACTTTGAATATATTTCCAATATATTGCTTTATCTCCTTAATACTTATCCTAAAAGTATGAATATCTTAATGTAGCCCTGAATAACACACTCTCAAGGGTTTATAACTAAAATTCATTACATAATTACTTCTGCCACATCTTTTAATATGATCCATCCAGATAACATAAATTTACTATTAATATAAGCTACAGGCTGTTGTAACATAGTTCCACCTTTCATATATGAAATTATGGGCATAACAATAATTTTTTCACAAATCTCTGGTTCGCAATTTAGTTCTATGTTATTTAAAAATGTTGGAATATCTGAATAATAGTATTTAGAGCCTTCTCTTAGATCCATGCTGCTAATTTATCCAGAAAATTCATTTAATTGCTATGATTTGGAATCCAAGGCAAGAGTAAACTAAATTTAGATTCATGTATACTATGGATGATCCACCAAGAAAATACTATTTATAATCTCTAATTTCTAGAGTATAAGGCCCTCCTTCAATCATCTACACATTTTCATCCTCATTCTAGATGTATAAGAAAATATTATATTTTGCCAACGACTCTTAATAACAAAAGTAGAAAAACACCCATTTTTCGATTGCAATTGATTGATCTATTTTGAGTTCTCTTATTTGATAAGAGCCTTAATGAAATATATAAAGATTGTGAGTGAATGATTTTTCCTCTTAGTTCAAAGTAATGTAATACACTAAATAGGCAATATTGGACTTTTTTTCTGTTACAACATGCAGAGATTAGATCGGCAAGGCAAGATTGTCAACGGAAGCATAAAATTAAGAATATTTTGTCCACACACCCCAAGCATAATCTAATGGAACAAGTGTAGATAAATCTTATTCAATTAATCTTTCACCTGTATCTGGGGTTGTGATTATTTTGAATACTTCACAACTGCAATAAACTAATTATACCCTAAAATTAAAATTTTCTATTATACATGATGATGCTTAAATACAACTCTGTGACCTTTTTAAACATTAATTAAATTTTTAAAAAGTTTAATTTCTCTTATAAATTACAAAAGGAAATTGCAAATATTTTCCTTAATTATAGAGAAATATAACAATACTGTCTTAACATTAATGTTAATTTGTCCAATACAATATATACATTTTCTTTCAGATTAAATAAATCTGGTTTAAATGAAATCTTAAAAGAATTACCCAATATGAGAATATGATGTTAGATCACCAATCCAAATATTTTAACTAATATTCTAAATAAAAGGTTTTCCCTAATTTGCACATCAGTTAGTGAAATTTTGTTTTTTGACTTTAGGTGGGAAAATAACTTCAAAAAATTTATAATTCATAAATTCGTAATTTTTATGAAAGAAATAATTTATTTTAATTAATTGAGATGTAACTTATTTCTAAATTTAATTAGAATCATAATTCAAAATAATTAAGCATTTTATTAGAGGTGTATTTATATTTAAGGGTATTAATGCTTAGATGATCTATTACAAAAGATTTTTCAGGAAATGCGTCTAAGTTTGTTAAAATTTAATATTTTGATGATTATTATTTGATTATAGAATTTACACTTAATTAAGAATTTGTAAAGTAATAATTAAAATGATCATAGCAATTTTTTTATATTAAGTAATTTATTATGTTTGATTTGTCATTTAGTTTTTATTCAATAGAATTAGTCAAAGTCTGTTATTCAATATTAAATTAATAACAATAAGGAGATAATTTGAAGAATTAATAAAATTTGAGGAAATACTTTAAGCCAAAATTACAGTTACATATAAATAAAACCATAAATGTATATTTTTCAATAAAATTTATTAATAGATTAGATTATCGTTAATAAATAAACTATTTTGAAGCTTTTATTCATAACTTGATTCTATATGAATTTTTAGTTTTAATTACAATTTATTATTAGATTATGTTACTAAAATTTAATCATCTCTCAAATATACACTATTTTTTGTAAAAAACTCACAAAATACAAAACTCAAAATCAGATGTCTTCCCCAAGAAACCTTAAGTTCAGCTTATTACATGCCCTGAATGTCCTTTACTTATCTTACAAACTTACGATTAAGGGGCAAGTGGGTAATTTAGCTTTAGTGTGTGCCATACAATCAAAAGAGATTCTAATAAAGGTCAGGATAAATTAACTTACATCTATAAACCTAATATATAGCTCTCTAGATTTTTTGACTTCCATGTGGCCTATTTTTTTTTTTCGTATCTGAAATAAACATTAGAAATATATAAGAGTATTTTGACTCACACCTCAAGACATAAAATTATAGTAATAGAAATACAATATTTAAATAAAATTAATGAATTGCACTTATCATATTGGAAATCAAATATAAATGATATGTATATCTCCTCACAAGTGTTAATATTAAAGGAAACTGTGTATTGAATGTCAATATGAGCATGAAGTGGATATCAAACAACATACTGTTCTACTTAAAAAATTTCAAGAAGCAGCCATTAAAAAATTAACAGAAGCTATGTTTGAAGAGACGTCAGAAATAACTAATTTGAGAATGAAATTTAAATCTATTCTCTCTAAAATTGAAGGTGAGTTGAAGAAAATTTGGGAAGAGTTGTCAGAATTTATACAAAAAACATACGATTTAATAGAAATTGAAAACTAATCATATATGAATCTTAAAAATGAAAATCTCAATCCAGCAACCTTGCCATATGCTGATTTAGAAAAACTAGTATAAATTATAGAAGGAAAAAATTAAATGACTGGATAGACTAGAAAAATTCATATTTAATTAGAATAGAAAAGACTTAGAATTGGTTGGACCAAGAAGTTAATACTTTCAGCGAAAAGTTGAGAAAAGAAATGAGAGAGATTAAATCCTTGATA